GTCAATGTAATAAATAATATATATCTCAAGCCAAAAGCAAGCATCATGCTTAATGGGGAAACACTGGAAGAATTGCTATTAATGCCAGAAACAATGCAGACTTTCCTACTCTCATTACTATTACTGACAGAACTCTGGAAGGACAATTAGATAAGAGAAATAAAGGTGACATACAAAAGTTATAAAGGAAGAGGCACTGATACAAATTCCTGAAGAACCCAAGTTAATTAACTGAAAATTATGAGAAAGAACTAAAATATATCAAGGTGGCTGGTTACAAAAAGAATTTTGTTCTACAGACAAACAATAGAAAATACAATGGCATTGAAAATATCCCATTCATAACAGCAACAGATAAGAATAAACTTATTAGTATGCAAGACCTATGAAAGGAAATGATAATACTCTGTGGGACATTAAAAGCCCTTGTATAATTTTTAAAAGGCATACTTTATTCTCAGATAAGAAGATAAATATTGTGATCATGTCCATTTTTCCTAAATTAATCTATGTACATCGATTCCCCTTAAGAATTCAATTCATTTGAGAGAATAAACAGACAGCTAATAAAATACTAGAAGGTATTGCCCTATCAAACATTTCAGTATATTCTAAGACTACATCATCCTGGAATATGGAGACATATCAATGGGATAGAACAGAATTTTTTAAAACCTTAAATGTATGTGGAGTTCTGGGCTCAAGCAATCCTCCTGCCTCAGCCTCCCAAAGTGCTGGGCTTGGAGGTGAGAAAGCAAGGCATTCAGGCAACATAGTGAGACCTCATTTCTACAAAAAATAAAAAAAAATTAGCCAGACATGGTGGTGTGCACCTGTAGTCCCAGGTACTTGGGAGGCTGGGGTGAAAGTATCACCTGAGCCCAGAAGGTTGAGGCTGTGGTGAGCTATGATTATGCCACTGCACTCCAGCCTGGGCAAAAGAGTGAGACCCTGACTCAAAAATAAATAAATAAGAAAGTAAACAAATAAATAAATAAATAAGATACTGAGACAATTGGGTAGTCATGTAGGTTGGAGAAAAGGCAAGATTCCTTCTTAATTTCTCACACAAAAATAAATTCCAGATGGAGACAACAAGAAGTAAGAAGAAAACCCTTAACAGAACAAAATGAAAATATAGATGAATATTCTTAAGATCATGGAGTAGGGGAAGGCTGTTTGTATAAGCACGTAAAAAAAATCAGAAACCTTTATGAAAAAGATGGATCCACTTGACAATATAAAATAATTTAAATCTCTATGTTATATAAAAACATTGTAAACAGGGTTAAAAAGTAACTAACCAAAGGGAATGGTATAGACCAAGAAATAGTGTAATTCCCATACAAATACTTTATCTGTCAACATTTATAAAAGGAATACTCCAAAAAGAAAAATAGGCAAATGATGCATGCAGGTAAATCACACCAGTAAAAATACAAATTGCTAATAAAAAGGTACTGCTAGTCATTTTCTTGTTTGCAAACAACAGAAACTGACACTGGTTAGTTTCAGTAATAAAGGAATTTATAGGCAGCCTATCAGGTTAGCTCACAGGATAAACAGAGCTGGAGAAACAGGCTTGGGCGGAAACCCAGGGAGGCAGACACCAGTAGGAACTTGTCACTAGTCAGCTGGACACTTGCTGCCATCTCTCCTGGTATCATACACTACTGTACTGCCACACTGCTAAATATACAGCCACTAGATTCATTAATTCACTGTATTATTCCCACCTAACCTTTTATCAATACCTCCAGAGCCAAAGTCCAGGTAGGAGTATTTGGGTGGTGTTTCTTAGGTCATCTTCCTGGGCTCTAGCTATTAGGAGTGAGAAAGGGAATGCCTAATCTCCAGCCCCTACCCAGTTTTCATAACGGGAACTTGAGTTGCCCTGCCTAATTTGGTATCCCCTCCGGATGGGAAGTCAGTTTAGGTGTTGGAGAGCTCAAAGCACATGATGTTCAGCCTCATACAAACAAAAACATACTAAATTGGCATTGTGAATTTGTCATCAAATTTGCCAATGTGAAAAAGACTGGAAAACGCAGCCCTATCTTAGGAAATGCGTGTGCCTCATTCTTTGCTGGCGGGATTTCTGGAGGTCAGCTAGACAATAGGTGTCAAATATGTGTGCAAACGGCTTTGCACTTTGATCCAATGTTTCAACCTAAGGAGACAATGACAAGGATGGACAAACGTACATGACATGGTAATATTCATTGCACTGTTGCTTCTGATTTGAATTTCTCTAGCTTGGGTAATGGGTGGGTACAGAGACGGGCAGTAGAAGATGCACTATAGAATGTTGTTCAGGGTGAGTCTGTAAGAATGACCATCTGAGCATTCCAACTAGGAACTCTTCTAAGACCATTCTGGCCAAGGGATTAGGCGGCTTTGGTGCCCTGTGGGGACCAAGTCTAGAATAGTGAGAGGGATCAGACTGGGGCGGGGGTTGTTATAGGTCCCACAAAAAAGTTCAGACATTGTTTAGTTATATTGTTGCCAAATAATCCTGCTATATGATGGCTACCTGACCGTGTAGCCCCAAATGAGTAAAATGGGTTTCTGCTGTGTTGAAACCTGTACTTTAGTGAAAGTGACAGATTGCAAACTGAATACCAACATGGTCAAGTTAGTACAAGTTAGTAGTGTCATGACAGAGGTGCCAAGAGAGCCTGCAGAAGGAATGCCTCCTGGAGGCAGCGATACCTAAGGTGAGATTTTAAGGGTGAGAAGTGACTAAGTGAAGAGGTTCAGGGAAAGGTGTTCACAGAATAGGGAAAGGCTTTGGCAAAGGCTGTTGTGTCTGGATCAAATGTGTCTTTTTAAAAATTTTATTTTATTGTAGAGATGAGGGCTCACCAAGTTGCCCAGGTGGGTCTCGAACCCATGGACTCAGGCAATTCACTCACTTCAGCCTCCCAAGGCGCGGGATTACAGACTGAGCCACCGAGCCCGGTGTCAAATGTGTCTTTGAAAGTTGAGGGCCATTGCATTCACACTTTAGTATGAATGATCAGATGTCTTTCTTCCTCATGTCCAGATGAGCTCAAGGTGTCGTGAAGAATGGATATTTTGACTAGGATGTGGGAGTGTAGGCGATTAGGAACAGTGCAGAGCACCCTGGGGATGCCACCATAAGAACTCTACTTACAATAAGGTGGGAGGCCAGAGGCCAAAGCTATTTACTTTGGAATGTGGTAAAAGGTAGTCTTGATGACAAAGGACTCTCCCTTCCCTGACTTCTCCTTTCTGCAGTAACCGGGATTCAGGCTAGCACTGTTAACAAAGAGAAGAGACAGAGAGGAAGTAACAAACCAGCGCTTCGGGGTTGAGGGCAGCCCAGAGATGTACTGTCCCCAACCCCCACGCTATTTTTTTTAATGGAACCAGCACTTAAAAATAGGATTTCTACCTTTTCAAAAAAAAAAAAAAAAAAAATCTGATGATTTGGCAGCACTGAGCTCTCATTCTCGCATGGGAACAACTGGTTGGAGTTGAGTGGCAGCCACCTCTTTAGGGACATCAATTTGCAGTTTGCTATAATTCCCATCATCCTGATATTCTCCCCAACACTGAGAGCCAGGTCATTGGAAGGTCAACATGATGACGGAAACACCATGATTCTTCACTCATTGCTGTGCCCTATCGGCGTTTATGGGTCTGTGATCTTTGGTTTAGAGGCCAAAGAGAGGGGCTTTCAATCAAACTTGGATTTGAATCGGTAAGAATTGAACCTGCTCAAAGGTGATGAAGATTAAAGATAGTGCATGCTTGGCATAATGTGTGAGACACAACAGCTATTGTAAGCGTCCTGCAAGAGGGCAGGCAGAAATCGTGTTCGTTTCATTATTTGTAGTCTCCCCGGCGTCTAGCACAGTGCCTGGTATATAGCAGGTGCTCATTATTTGTGGAATAAATTGTGGATGAATGATGCGAGAGCTCAGCGGGGTTTTAGAGGCTGGAATGAAAAGGCAGGTAGTTCCGGTAACACCGTTCCGCTGGGACTCCAAGGTGCAGCCCGAAAGAAAAGCCCGCCAGGCCCTGTGACGCCGTTCGGGTGGCACGCAGGTGGCAGGGACTCTGCAGCGTCCCTTGGGAGCCAGACGGGGCTGGCCTGCCCAGGACCGGCCAGGGCCATGACCGCCGGCTCTCCCGCAGTCTGGGAAGGGGCGGCATCCCGATTCCTGCACGTCCCAGCCTCCGCCCTCTGACCCGCAAGCACGGAGACCCACCCCTGGGGTCCCCCAG